CTCTGTTTAGAATATTTATTTCATTTAGTGCTTTCCAGCTGTTGATTATTATAGCCCCAATTCAGGTTATCTCAGAAAGGCTCAAGAAGAGAATCCATGCTACCTGTTTTACTTATTGGCATAAATTGTTTCAAAATTTCAGACCAGATCCTTGCAGCAATTTTTCCTGAAATGTGTATGGAGAGATTGTTGAATCTGTAACAGCCCTATTTACATGTACTAGTATTAAAATAATGTTCTTTTTGCTGGCATTCTTAGCAGAAGAGAGCTTATTGAGAACAAAGGGGGTGAACATCATTCCTTCCGAGTCAGTCATTTCCTCCAGGGCAAGGACTGTATCACCTAGGCACTATCTGCATGAAAGTGGCAGTGCCTTTTCTGTGTATATTCTATTAACACCAATTTCTTTTTTATAGCACTGCCTCCTCCCTGCTTCTGCACCACTGTAAAATGCATTTCCTCTTTTTTTTCCCCCAACAAAAACATATAATATTTTCTCATGTTTCTGTTTCTGATAAACTATTGTCTGCTTGCCTGGTTTTCTGTAGGTGCTCTAGGTTCGGATCATTGGAATACGCACACAGGCAGTAAGATTACAAGGTTTTGAGGTGACATGTAATTTTACACATGGATTGAGTTCCGCTGGTAACTGGAAAAGTCTGTGGCTCCTCAGAAAGTCAAATAGTGAATAAAGAGGACACATGGCATCTTCCCATTTATAGAAAGCCAGACTAAATAAAGGCATGTGGAGATAGAGCAGGTTAATTTAGTGACTGTTTAAACTCTCGTGCCACGTTCGGGATACCATCCCAAGGTTGTGAAATTGCTGGTGTTTTACATGCAGCTTATTATACATACCAGCACTACATTATGCAGAATGTTTTAAAGGAAGAAGGGCAAGATTTAGAGGCCATTAAAAACTGTTAACAGCACTGTCCAAGTCACAGACAAAAACATAAGTATTGTGTAATGTAAGTGAAAATAATTGGCTAGACCAACACAATGAACAGTAACCACAGGACACAGACCTTCTAAGCCTCAGGAAACAAAACAAGACTATTACAGGTACACTGTACAAAGCAGGTTTTGACTCTTACCACCTAACTGATGTTACCTAATACGTTAAAACAGCAGAAGTTTGACTTTAACTTGAGGTGCTGCTAAGGTTGAGTTCTAGGCTGACACTAATACAAGCCGCTCCTCTGAGCTAAGACTGTGTGGATCTTCACACATTTAACCCACACTCTGAATTTTTTGAGAACAGATCTCTTTCTGTACTACAGACATACTTTATGTCCAATCATCCTTAGAATTCCTGACTAATTCTAAGGACCTATGTGGTCTTACAAAAGTCACAATTGACAAGTCAAAACTCCAGATTGATAGCCAAGCATTCAAGAATGATGCATTTTGACAATAGTCAGTAAATATGATGAAGCTCTGAACTCAGTGACAACATTCTGTAAGTCTTTCCTATCACATTTTAAAACCTTAAGATATTAGAAGTAATTATTCGTCTCATCGGCTGGTGCTACTAAGTCATCAGGATCAATTTTCTGCTCAGTGCATCATTGTCTAGCTCTAAGACTCAAAATCAAATCACAGCTGCATTGCTCTGCTATCGTCAACAGTGCAAAATGAAGAGTTCAAGCTGCCACTTGTTTGACATGGCCTCCAAAACTTTCTCATCTCCTTGATGCTTGACCAAGGGTCCCACTGCCGCTTGGCTCGTGCGGCTGTTTCCCCCCCCCAAGTATGTCTGAACACCTCAGAGCAGATACTTTCTTTCTATAGAATAAGAGTGATGCTGAAGGCTAGCTGGTTCTCCAAAAAGCCAAAGGACAGTAATGCAGAAAGGATAACGTCTATGGCCATGGCTTTGAACTCTGGATCTACAAATAGACTTTCTAAAAAGCCACAACAAATAACTGAGTGTCAGACTTGCATAGTTTTCCATCCTCATTGGAAACTTCCATGGATCTTCAAATTGAAGAGTGTGAAAACCACTGTTCTAGAGCTATTAGCATCGTTACAACTCTTGCTATCGAGATCACATGCAAGCTCATGCAGTAGTCTATGGGGGAGTCTCAAGCATGTGCCCCTGGCATGAAATAACTATGCACACACCTTGCCCTAAGGGCTGTGAAATCAAGTTCCATGTAGCACAGACTTCATTTCCAAAGTTTTTCCAACCACAGCAGAAAGTGTCTCACTTCCAAGGCATTTGTTGCACCTGTGTACAGCCCTCCCATGGAAACGGGTGGGAAGGGCTGCACACAGATACAATATTGCTCAATGCAGAAGTTTACAGGATACATGCTTCTCCAAATCTGTCAATATCTTGCCATTGCGAGACTGTTTGTTTAAATGAAACAGTGCACAGATAAAGGCATACAGAACTTTCTTCTTCCCTTCTTTATCCTCCTGAAAAGATCACAAGCCACAGGGAGTTTTTTTTGTGGCTAAGTAACAGTAGACGGCAGCCTTCACAAGCAAAAAGCCTGGTTACAGTCAGGCAAGCAGAGTATTATGAAAACACCGTAAAACAATTACACCATAAAAGTGTAATCCACTCCAAGTGTAAGCCATTATAAGTGGCCATGAAAGGGAAGAACGCTGGAATGAGAGAATGAACATAACGCAAAAACAATGGCTCCAAGTAGGTATAAAAGCATGTTAGTTACTCTACAAATTCAAAAATCCATGTAGCTGAAAGTCTTTAAAAAAAAAACCCAAACAAACACAACACTAAACTAAAACTAAGCACTATCTAAAGTTCTGCTTGAGGCAAATAACCCATAGTATTATTTACAGGTACACAAGCACCACAGTTGCTAACAGAAGTGACCCTCAGTATTGAGCACCAGTTTTATATTTCTTCAGAGTTCAGCTAACAAGTGGCCTAGTAAGGGAACAATTTATGCCCAGCCTGAGACATCTAAAACATAATTTTCATAAGTGCTTTAGACTTGCTAGAGTTGAGCCTGTATTTTTGTAAGCAGGAATTCAGGGATTAAGGGCGTTCTCAGTCATGAGTTTGTTTTATGCAAAGACTCTTCTTATCACAAAGGTAGGACTGAAATAACAGTAAAAACTAGATGCTAGGACACTACTTTCATCTCCCCCTCAATTTCTCTTTTCATACAATAAAGATAACTAGTTAGGTGCTTTTGTTAAACTCATTCAAATCTGACCTACATTTTTGTAGAGATTAAGAAAAATTCTATTTGGCCTGTCAAATCTCACTTTAAGAAAAAACACTTGGCTTTTGAACAACTGAAGGCAGTTCAAGAAGTTGTTATGAAAAATTCGGCAGTTATCTTTCAATATTTATTAACATCTTACATCTGTTTATATTATGAAACTGCCAACCTTGCCCCAATCTACCTGAAACAGATTTAGTTCTGAACAAAACTGAAGCCTACTAAGGATTATCCTGCTTAAAAATTCTTAAGAGGTGCATTACTTAAGTTTTCTTCACCTTATTAAATTTTGTTCTGTGTCAAAACAGCCATATTCTTAATCTTCCAAGGAAAGACATTAGAATACCACTGTGTCCAATCTTGACATCTTTCCCAGTCTACAGCTTACCACATTTGGTGCAGAAACTCAGTCTCATAGCAGTCCTTCTATCAATGTACTTTCAGAACTGCTGGGTAAGTGATCCAGTGCTGCAACAGCACGTTATGCTTACATGAGCTTGCAGTGAATGCAGCAGTGTGTGTACTCGAGGGAGTCAGAAGCATTCTCCTTCCTGAACTAAAGCCTGTAGCTTTCACTTCACACCTCATTAAAAGTTCCTAATTCATTGCAAAGGCAAGCAGGAAATCCCCAATGCTATCAGCTGTGGGCAGTGCAACTCATGCATCACTAAACCTTCCCCTACACCCACAAGGCAAGGGCAACAGGGTGCAAGGGCCATTCCTCACCTTCCCAGAAGCTGGAAGCGAAGTGCTTTGGGGCACAATTATCCCCTGTGCTCCCCCTACTTCTCATTTCCTGAGGCGTAACATAAGAAAGTGTGTTTCCAGAGAACCTTGTATAATTTTTAACTACTAATAGCGTGCAGGAACAGAGAAACTAGAGGAGACAAGGACAGAAAGTACCTGCCAAGAATCTCTCTACTCTCATTTAGTCCTACATGTGTACAGTTACAGTGCTGCTCCCGACCAAGGGGGTTTACACGAAGTGTTACTCAGCAAAGACTGGGTAAAGATTGCACAGCTAAGAACAGAAAGATGTGTTCTAAGGAAACAAACATACTATCTAAGGTTTAGATAACAGCAACTGCAAGACAGGAATGTGAGAAATATCAGACTAGAGAATGAAGGACACAACAAGATAGCTAAAGAAACACACCCATACTCAACAGCTGGAAGAAGACTGATAACACTTGCAAGACATCCAAGTTTTAGGGAGGAACATTAGAAAAAACACACAGATTAGTAAGACAGTTAAGTACTCTGCTCATTAACACAAGACGGCACTGGTACAGAGATTTTACTGGTTTCAAGTAAGGAAAAGTGGAGAGGCTAGTAAAATGTACTGCCATTATTTGGAACAGAAGCTTGTAATAAAGTAGCAGTTACTAAGCCCGCTTTGTGTTTTTGAGCAGAGGAGTCTCAAAGCTTGGATTCTACTGTTTACAGAACACAAAAACCTAGCAAACAGATGGGGAAAATAATATCCCAGTAACCCACTCCAAACCCCCCAAACTCCTGCCACAAGATGGTAACAGAAAAACCCAACCATTAACGCCATTTGAGCCAGAAAAGCAGAGAGGACAGTCTAGGTTGTAGCTCTGTTGCATAATTTCTTTGCAGAGCTGTTACCTAACCTAGCCATGTCCTTGCACACGTATGATCCAGCATGGTTTTAGACAAGATACATCAATACATATTATAGAGGCAGCTCTCATTTTCACATATAAATGCTGAAGCAGCAAGATTAAAATAATTCATTATTTTAAAGGTAAAAATAAACAAACACTAAAACAAATCTTTTTGGTAGTTGAAATCACTTTTATTTGTGAGGAACGTCACCCATGCTGCACAGTTTCAAATAGATCTTACCAAGGAAAGCGGAAGTTTCTCCTCCCCGTGTCCTGCAGTGAACAGGACTGGCACAGAAAAAAAAAAACTCATCACACCTGGGAGGTTTAGCACCAGCATCCAATAAAAAAAGCATTTGATTTCAATTTCAGTTCTTTGGTTGGGTTTTTTCCCTTTTCAGTTTGATACCAAAAGAAAAATTGAAAAATTCAATACTAGCGAAACAGTGAAATTCTAAAAAAAAATTCCCCACAGTTGCTGTTGAAACTGGGGAGGTTGCTCTTTTTGAATCTCGCTCTCTTTTCCTCTCTTCATGCATCTATCTTGCAGGCGTTCCCTGGATCTCAGCTGCTGGTATTTTTTTTTCTTTTAAGTTCCGATGTTTCAAATCTTTGCTTTCGTCATCACTGTTGACAATTTATTGCTTAAGTGTTTCTTTGGTGTTACTTTTGAGTTGTATTTTAGGACACCTGTTGGAAGAGCCAAATTTTAAAAGAAATGCACTTTAAGTTGAAGAGGTGGGATGTCAGGTGGAGACAATTATTATAATAATAGACAGGATAAGCATGACTGGCTTATCCTATCTGTAAGCTGAGAGTACAGTATCTTCCTAAAGCAAAACATTACTAACTCATCAGCAGATGCTATTGCTATATAGACCACACAGATGTTCCTGCAAAATCAGATTGATAAAGCAAAATTTACTTTGTGACAAATATAGACACAGAGGCAGAGGAGAGAAAGAAGAGAAAGCAGCAGACCGTTCCTTGGTTTGCCTATACAGCACTCTCAGAAGTTATCACAAGTATCTAGCCATACATAAGGGGATGTGGCCAGAGTCCAAGTTCTAGAAGTATACACAATGCCGCTTCAATTGGAGAACAAGAACTATCTATATTCCTTACCTGAGGGATGGTAAAGGTGCCTGGGGAGCCGGACATTACTCAGCACCACTCTGCTCGGTCACTGGAGCAGGATTTTCAGCAGGTGTTTCAGTCACCTTTGTCTGAGACACAATAAACCTTTATTATAGGCAAAGACTGACCTCCAGAGCGTTCCTCTGTTCAGTGGTAAGGCCAGCATAACCCAGGTTTTAAAATAATCAAGGAAGACAAATCCTCAGAAAATATTAACTATAGGAAATACACTAAAGTTTAAGTATTACACAGCAGATTCTGTCAGGGGACCACCTCAAGTAGATACAGAATGAGACAGTCTTTCCTCATTAAGGTAAAATCTGTGTTTGCAAACAGTTCCCTGAAGTCGTCTGGTTCAAGCAGTTCAGGAAATGGATCTAGAGCTTTCAAATCCATCTCTTACACTACATACAGACTGAAGGTTTGAGAAAGCTGGAAAACGCAACTGTTTCTCTCCACTTCAAAAATATTTGTTACAGTCTGACCCTAATTAAGAACTATCCAGAAGCAATCCCTATCCCACTGCTGGTTCCATTTAAGATAAGCTGCTCGTTCTCAAAGACACTCACAAGGAACAGGCAATGAAACCAGCTACTTTCAACCATCAGCACTTTGAACTTGGCCATCAGATTCCTCCAGCACACCAACAATACACTTAAAACTCCCACAGGACAGAAGGTCTTGAGCACTCACCCCATCAAAACTGTCTCTGCCACATTTTGCCAGGAGCATGCTCACCTCTTTCCCATCCTGAGCTGGAGCATTGGGTGGACGAGGTCGACGCCGGTAGTTGTATGGGCGCCTATACCCACGGCGAAGTGGCTGCTGACTCATAGCATTGGCCTCATGATGGTTCTCTTTGTTTTCAGCCTCTCCAGCCACTGGGGCAGGGCGTGGACGTGGGGGTCCTCTGAAGAGGGGGAGAAATGTGTTAAGTATGAGAGAAGCCCAAGAAGGTTAAACTACCGTAATTTTAGCCCAGCAAAAGCCTCTCCAACCAAGTACCATCTGTAACAATACTGAATGCTAGCAAACCATCCCTTTGGAGTTTGGCTGGTATATAGTTGGAAGGGAAAGACCTGTTTCATTGGGTTAGACAAGTAACCTGGGTGTCTCTTCACTGCTGAAGCTACATCAGCATATTCTGCTGTCTGTCCTACAATAAAAGGATACTTAGCCCATTTGAATTGCTGGCTAGGAGAAAAAACAAGGTAGTAGTGGCCATACAGGCTGAGTCTGCCAAGTTAGCCTTGGACTAGCTATATACCAGTCCAGCCCTAGTCATAATTAATGGTGCAATCCCTGGGAATTGCAATTCCACCTGTAAACCATTCCTGGATCTTCCCTCTTTGCCTTATGTTGCCCCTCTTGACCATATAAGAAAGTGTAGCATGCATCTCAGAGTTATTGAGGTCCAACTTGCCTAACGTGTTAATGAATAACCAATCCCAGAGATCTCCCCATGTCAAGAGAAGACAGAGAGGCTTTTGGTTTGGAACTACAGTGTACGGTCACATCTCAAATGTGTGGATACATGCTATGGTCTACAACTTCCTCAAGGGGGGCAGCAGAGAAGGAGGTGCTGATCTCCTCTCTCTGATGACCAGCGATATAACACAAGGAAATGGAATGAAGCTGCATCAGGGGAAGTTCAGACTGGACATTAGGAAAAGGTTCTTCACTGAGAGGGTGGTCAGTCACTGCAGCAGTCTCCCCAGGGAAGTGGTCATGGCACCAAGCCTGTCAGAGTTCAAGGACCGTCTGGACAACGCTCAATCACTAATATGATTTAGTTTTAGGTAGCCCTGTGAGGAGCAGGGAGTTGGACTCAATTCTTATGGGTCCCTTCCAACTCGAGATATTCTATGATATAAGCTATCAAGTCCATGCTCCTTAAGTATGCAAGAGCATTTCATCCCATTTCCATTATAAACAAAGTATGTTTATAAGCTGCCAAAACACAGCTGAATGATGACAAAGTCACTGCCTACTATCTAGCTCCCATTAGCTGGCTTAGCTAATCCGCAACTATCCAATCCCAAAAAACAATTTAGCTTTTCCAAAGGAATCTAACATAAAAGCACTAGTGTCACTGGATTTAGTGCATATAAATGCAAGCAATACCTACCTGGTAACTCAGAAACATTCTGCACTCATGTTGGATACAGTAAGCTATCATACCTCTTCAGGGAAAAATGCTTCAGAAATGCATAAATTCCATTAGCCATGGGCAAATTATCCAGCTTGTGATTCACCCACATGACATGCAAAAGCTCAGGTGCCTCATTGTACTTGGTGTGGTGCTATTCCAGACTGCCCAATGCTAATGAAGACTTTCAGGAATAAAATTTATTCTGCTCAGATCCCTACAAGCAGCAGCATCAGTATTACCCCATTTCCCACAATCCTAGATAAGAGAGCCAACTAACACAAACATTCACAGATAGAAAAGCTCAGTAGAGGTGGAAGGCTTATGGTTAGACCCAGCATCCAGAAGGATAGATCCATTTTGCATGGAACAGGTAGTTATTACAGTTAAGGACTATCTAGTTATTCCTGTGAAATTCAGCTTCTTGTTGCTCTTGCACTATTATCTACCTCTTCCTGTTTGTTTTTGAAAAAACATGCATATGAAAAAACAGGAATTACATCCATTTCATAGTTCATCTCTCTAAATTCAATGTTGGAACTTGACCTCTTAAGCTAGTTGATAGAAAGACAAGGACAAGATGAAGAAGAGCAAGTGAGTAAATGGCAGATTAATACAAATCAGCTCCCTGAGAGCAGAATCATAGAATAGTTTGGGTTGGAAGGGACCTTTAAAGGCCACCTAGTCCAACCCCCCCTGCAGTAAGCAGGGACTTCAACTAGATCAGGTTGCTCAGAGCCCCGTCCAACCTGACCTTGAATGTTTCCAGGGATGGGGCATCCACCACCTCTCTGGGCAACCTGTCCCAGTGCTTCACCACCCTCAGCGTAAAAAATTCCTTCCTCATATCTAGTCTAAATCTACCCTCTTTTAGTTTAAAGCCATTCCCCCTTGTCCTATCACAACAGGCCCCCGCTAAGAAGTTTGTTCCCATCTTTCTTATAAGCCCCTTTAAGTACTGATAGGCTGCAAGAAGGTCTCCC